CAGTGTTACCAATTAGAGCTCTATCGTTCCAACAAGTCTTTACACAGTGGAGCACAGTGTAACGTTTCTGTGTCCTAGCTGGAAAACAGCCCGTGTCAGTGCATATGTATCGAATGTGCCAATAGTTGGAAAGCACCGTGTCGTACACTGTGTTACACAGTGTCTACTTGTGTCGTAACTGGAAAGCACCCTATGACTACACATCTGTACTCAGTCGACGTAGCTTTGCAGTGTTTACGACAAATGGTCGGATTTCCAATCCGATCGAACAGTGGTACTCAGTTGGTGCATTTCAAAAAACTCCTTAGCTTAATCGGATTTTGGTGCCTGTCTCAGGAGGTAATCGGATTGAGTTGAACGGATCGTGAGAGAGGAACAATTTTGCGAATTTGCGTATGAACTTATTAAAAGCAGAGTGCATAAAGACAAAGAGATACATATGTTAACTACTATTGTAATAATTATTGTGTATTTTATTCTAAAATTTATATCAATAATGGAAATATGTATAGTATAGTAAAAGAATTCTGGAAAAGTAAATATATAACCTCACTTTATTAATTTTTTATAAAATATATATAATAAAATATATTTTTGCAGAAGTATAAGATTTGCCAATTTTTAAATATTCCATACAACAAATATATCCATCCTTATATATGTATCCTGTGTAAATTAATAATTTATATAGATATATAAAAAAATATTTATATACATATATATATATATTTGATAAAATATAAAAAGATTGTTATTGCAATATCTCGTACAAATTGACGAAAAACGATACAAATAACATTTTGAACTAATCTAATATAAATAAACCTTCAACAATTTTCTGTAAAATATAATAATAAATTATAATTATTAATTTTTTTAACTGTAATTCAAAGAGTACTAACGATTCATAATAATATATTATATGATAATGATATGATCATAATATAATATGACTACCACGTGTGTCGGAATATAGGTAAATTAAATTGTAATCGTTTGTTAAAATTGATATACGTTGTCTTATTTTGTCAAGCTACAAATGTACATACTATTGATTATACTGTTTGGTAACTATATTTCATCAACCAACAAAACAAAAAAAGGCGTAACTGAAACGATACACGATCACGACGACACAAGTTAGCGTATATTAGCAGCAGTTTATGATCATGAAGGAGGACCCAATATAAGAACAAGATTGCGTAGTTAACGTTGTAAGTGAAAAACTAAATAGAGAAGAATTTTTTAAAAAGTTTTGACACATATATAAATTCAGGAATTTTATTTATAACTATAATGTAATACTGAAGATGGTCAAGTTAATGACCGAAACGTTTATTGATTAGTTATGATAATGATATGAATAAATTATTTATTTTATAATAATTTATTACATTTATAATAATTTATCACAAATAAGAACTTGTGTGTGGTTTTATGCTCATTGTATGAAATTATTGTTTTTGAATCTAACCACGTTTTTGTGAAAGTTATTAAATAATATATTATTTATTATATTTTACAGAAAATTGTTGAAGGTTTATTTATTAGATTAGTTCAAAATGTTATTTGTATCGTTTTTCGTCAATTTGTACGAGATATTGCAATAACAATCTTTTTATATTTTACCAAATATATATATAATATATTTAAATATTTTTATATTTTATTATATATCTATATATTTATTAATTTACACAGGATACATATAAGGATGGATATATTTGTTGTATGGAATATTTAAAAATTGGCAAATCTTATACTTCTGCAAAAATATATTTTATTATACATATTTTATAAAAAATTAATAAAGTGAGGTTATATATTTACTTTTCCAGAATTCTTTTACTATACTATTCATATTTCCATTATTGATATATATTTTAGAATAAAATACACAATAATTATTACAATAGTAGTTAACGTATGTATCTCTTTGTCTTTATGCACTCTGCTTTTATTAAGTTCATACGCAAATTCGCAAAATTGTTCCTCTCTCACGATCCGTTTAACTCAATCCGATTACCTCCTGAAGACAGGCACCAAAATCCGATTAAGCTAAGGAGTTTTTTTGAAATGCACCAACTGAGTACCACTGTTCGATCGAATTGGAAATTCGACCATTTGTCGTAAACACCCTTGTATTTTCTAGTAACATTCTAGTCGGGAGATTATGGGTGCTTTCCAGCTACGAAACACAGTGTAACACTGTAGGTCTGTTCGCGTTGCATGAAATCCCCAAATAATTTTGCACTTAAAGTGAGATAGATGTATATTCGGCTTTAAAAAGAAAGAAAGCGAAGATGGTAAGTGCAAAAAGTGCAAGCAACGCGAACAGACCTTGTGTGACACAGTTGGTCTGTTCGCGTTGCATGAAATCCCCAAATAATTTTGCACTTAAAGTGAGATAAATGTATATTCGGCTTTAAAAAGAAAGAAAGCGAAGATGGTAAGTGCAAAAAGTGCAAGCAACGCGAACAGACCTAGTGTTACACAGTGTCGACTTGTAGCTGAAACGCTATTTAGTCACTTTACACTAGTGTTTCTAATAGGAAAAGTATTCTGGTATATATTTACTAATTCAAAAGAATATTTTGTCACCTTATTTGTTTAGTATACACTCATGCAATGTCGGAATATCATTCCTAGATAAATAAATAGTACAAAATGTAAAAATCTTGGTTATGTTGGTAGCTATGAAGAGACGACACAGTTGAACTCAGCATTTTAGCTGTGTACGATTGTGTCGACTTGTGTCATAGTTGGAAAGCACCATGTCGTACACTGTGTTACACAGTGTCTACTTGTGTCGTAGCTGGAAAGCACCCTATAAATGAGGTTGGAGAACATGAATTTTCGTTTTTTTTTAAATGCAGTAAAGAACAGAAGGAAAAAGCAACGAAATGGACGATGAAAATATTATTGAAGTAAGTAATTATTTGGTATCAATAAATTTTTGTAATATATTTTCTTATCATATTTGATAAATAAAGTAAACTTAATATATATTCTATTTTTTGTATATTTATAGGTTAGATGTGTATGCTATTTCAACTTTATTCAGATATATAATTACAGTGCACATAATTATACATACCATATATACATGTGCTAATGATTTTTTTTTTTTCTAATTATTTACAGAGTAATAACACGAGTTTGACGTGTGCAACATGTTCTTCAATTTTGGATAGGGAAGAATTGTCTGAAAATGCTTGCTTTAATAGAAAATCTATTTATTCAAATGAGGGCATTATTTTTTGTGTTGATGATCATGACATCGTCTCAAATGAAGAAACTTTCAACGATCATACTTCTAATATAGATGATTATGACGATATCAATGTATGCGGAGAACCGTATATACGGATATACCTCGATTTATTAGGGCGACTGTTACCATAAAAAAGTACTACTAGTGTCATTGCTAGTTCTCTAGTAACACTTCTGTAAATACAGTAGTGTCACTGTTGGTACGCCCTCGTAAAAAAGTACTACTAGTGTCACTGTTGGTACGAGTAGTAATCAGTAGTAACACTGCTCGTGACTAGTAGTGTAGAAGTGCAGTATTAAATTTACTACTAGTGGCACTAATAGTGGGTGCTTTCCAGCAAGGACAGAATCAGACACTGTGTAACACGGAGAATCGTTTCATCCTCGTTTAACGCAAACAACAAGGATGCAATGATTCACTGTGTTACACAGTGTCCACTTGTGTCGTAGCTGGAAAGCAGCCATCACTACTGGGAGTAGTGCAATCTACAGTAATCACATTCTCGCACTTGCGGAAATTATTTTAATACAAATTTGAATTAAAAAATCGGTTTTAATCAATTATTTTAATCATTTCGTATTTTTAATCAAAATTTTTTTATATTTTATTTTTTTTTTTGCGAATTTACCTGCATATTGCACTAATAGTGACACTAGTAGTACTTTTTTACGAGGGCGAGTAGTAATCAATAGTAACACTGCTTGTGACTAGTAGTATAGAAGTGCAGTATTAAATTTACTACTAGTGGCACTAATAGTATCATTACTGGGAGTAGTGCAATCTACAGTAATCGCATTCCCGCACTTGCGGAAATTATTTTAATACAAATTTGAATTAAAAAATCGATTTTAATCAATTATTTTAATCATTTCTTATTTTTAATCAAATTTTCTTTATAACTTATTTTTTTTTGCGAATTTACTTCTGCATATTGCACTAATAGTAACACTAATAGTACTTTTTTTACACGCCAATTAACTTAATCGATGATTAACCCGGAACGATCTCTCCTAAGAGAATAATTAACTTATACAACTGTTGTATAAGTTATCCATCCTCTTGGAAGCACTTTTGATCTTAGCTTTGTTCCAGGTATTGTTGTGAAATAAGTAAAAGAGTTTGAGAACAGTGAAAGACAAAATAAAACAAGCGAAATGAGTGGAAGAAAACAACCAAGCTGTGCAGTGTTCCATTATGTACTAATATTGAAAATTATAATATAGAGCGACGATATTTTTTTAGATTTCCAAAAGAGCATGACAGGTATTGTTTTATAATTACTGCTTTATGATATAAATTATAATTCATATTTTTATTAATTTTACTATCTGGTACGTGTAGTTTATGTATAGTAAGCTATTTAGACTGCTGTCACAAAAAAATGTAATCATTTGTTAAATGATTATATTACTCTGTTAATAATAAAATGTTTTAATATGCAAAAATACACGAAAACAAGGTTTTCATTTCTTTAGGTAAGTAGAAAGTATTTATGTGTAATAAATATAAAAATATTCGAGGTTCATGATATGAGAAGGTTATGTTTCAATTAAGTAAAGATAAATTGGAACATCTTTCTAACAACAATGTTATTTATAAGATTACCTGTGATGATTGTGAAGCCAGCTATGTTGGTCAAACAAAAAGGAAATTGAGTACCAGACTAAAAGAACATATATCTGACATTAGAAAAAGGACAGGTTCTCCCTCCCTCTGTCATTACTGACCATCGTATCAATTTTGACCACAATTTTAAATGGAATGATGTCCAAATTTTAGACATTGAATCTTTTTACAATAAGAGATTGGTGTCTGAAATGATTCACATCAAAAGGTAAAAACAGGGTCTTAATAAACAAAACGATGCAGAATCTTTACCAGAAACTTATTCTCAGATAATTAACTCTTTCTCTCCTTCGTAAATTTCCTTACCCTTTTCACTTTTATTCCCACTTTATTATATATTTACCCCTTCCAAATTTTCCCCTTATTTCCATTTGTAGTTCCTTTGTACTTGAGATGTACGGTTATTCTGATTTTAAATTGTTTATTGTCAACATCTTAAAATGGGTCTCTTTTCGCATTGTTCTAATTTATATTAATCATAATCGTATTTTGATACAATTTTACAAGGTAATTGATTATCATTTAATTTAATTGTTACTAAATTAACAAAATGGATATGAGTTACTTACAATATTTTGTAATTTTACATTATATTCATTTCAATTTATTGCCTTGAGAATTGACTTTTTTACTGATCAATTGACTCTTACATTATATTCTTTTCTTTATATTCCTTTCTTTATTATTTGTATCTATTACTGACACTGTTTTATTATGTTACTATTTGATTTAGAAATGTGGAGTTTTTCGCAATTTACATTATTTGATGATTGCTTTGTTGATGGACTCTTGCCAATTTGCGCCGATATGATTAAGTCTTCAATAGCGAGTGAGATTAAATACCCACATCACAGAATTTATATACATATTTTTGTATACATATTTTGTGAATTTCTATAATATTATGGTTTGTACATCGTTAACGATATTTTGCGATTTTTTTAATATTGAAAATGACATAATAAAGGTCGAAACGTCTGTTTTTAAATTTTATTAAACTTTATATTTATTTTTAACTAATGACTTCTTATATTTACTAAGATTTTTACAATTTAACGAATGTTGGCTCGTAGCCCTGTTGTTTTAATTATTTTTTAAATTTATTGAGCCTTGTTATATATAAACATAAATAATAAAAATAAAAAAGTAAATAATTACAAATAAATAAATAATGAATTCATTAATATTAATAATACATGCACTGACCTCGTCGACAAAACTCATTTTTCTCTTTTACACATCACTTAAATTTAAAGGATTTAAACACAATCGTTTTTCGTTAAAGATGGGACACTCCGAACTTCAGCGTAAAATCGACAGCTCTCGAGCCATCAAGCGCTGCTTGGCATTATGGTAGAGTGGGGGTAAAACGCCAGCTTTTCTTGGCTGCATGAAATGGCACCTTTAAATAATTTTATCATTACAGTCATAAAAAATTGCAACATTGTTACCATACTGTTATAAAAAGTAACTGTAAAAGTGTGTAACTCTTCCATTCTCTGCAAATCTTAATTTACGCCGAAATTATAAACATCGGATATTACGAAACTGGCCAATCATAGATATTCCTCTAAAGAATGGAATGACTGTGATTGACCACTTTCATAACATCGATGTTATAACTTCGGCGTAAATCGAGTCGTGTAACTGTAGTAATAGAGAAATAGTAGTTCCGTTCCGCGCCGTTCGGTGTGTCACAAAAAAAAATAAATAAATGTTACTAATAATAATGTTACTAATTAATAAATGTTACTTTAATCTTCTAAAATTCTTTCATTCCAATATTTCGAGAGTAAATTCCATACAGCAACGCTTCTAAAGCGCAAGATATATGTAGGTTCATAGCGCTTTACAGGCGCTGCCGTACTACGTAAAAACTGTTATAAATATGCAATGAAACCGCATTTATGTATGCGCTTTTACAACGCTTTCTGTGCGCTTTGCAGACACTGTTATATGACACGAAAAGTGCAGTATATGTACTATAAAACTGTATTTATTCTGCGCTGATTGTATGCGCTTTTCATAGTAGATTTCGAAAGCGCTTTTAAAGCGCTAAAAAGCTGCTAAAGTAATGCACCTGCATACGCGCTTTTTAAGCGCTACTGTGCTACGTCTAGAGCCCCGCCACGTCGTTCATCCTAGGTAATGCTAAGCATGGGGAAATGGCGGTGGTGCTGTAACTTTCAAATCTCATAATTCAAAAAGTACTTTATGAAAAATAGCTTTATTGTAGTGTTTTAATCTCTCGTCACCAGATATTAGATTTTGGAATAAAAAAATAGGGTGTTATTTTAAAAAATTAGTGAGACTTTGACCGGATCTTGGTAACGCCACCCGAGGTCCGATTAAACAGATAAATGAATACATCATTTAAAATTCTACAACTTCGTGGGAAACGTTTTTTTCGGAAATGCTTAGTTTACGAGACATTTCACCAGTCCGCGATTTTTTATTCACCCCGTATGCGCGCGCGCGTATATGTAATAATTTATTTACTTCGTACACTTTTCTTCTTTTTCCTCACAAAATTTTAATGTACACGCATAAGTTTTTAGTTGCAAGTAATTACACACAAATATGACAGACAAGTGTTTGTATTTATTGCATAGCATATATATATATACGCTGATAAAAACAACAAATGATATATTCAATGATCAATTACATAATTATAAATCGTCAAGCTAACATGCTATTTTTTACATAATGTCTAATGCTTTTATGTACAAATTTATGCAAACTACATATTTAAATAAAATCAAAAGATTTTTGTCAAATAATAAAAAATAAAGAAAAAATTTTTTAACACAAAATCATATTTCACGAAATTGTAAACTGTGCTATTTAGAAAAAAAAAATTAAAATAAAATAATAACTAATCACCTGCGTTGTACACTTTTCATACACAATCAAGAAAACATAAGAAAATATAAATTCGGCATATTTAACATGTAAAAAAAGATATCATTAACATATCTGTATCGATTATTTTTATAACCGAGATATATCATTATTTATAATCGTATGTGAGATATTTCGTATATTAACTGTTATGGAAGTAATAATTAATAACAGTTAATGATTACAATAATACTTATAGGTCAATTCTAATGTAAGTAGAATCGTAAGGCTCGTAATATATTTTCGTAAGACTTATAAGAACTTTTAAGTGCTTATATTTTTATACAATATCTTTACAGTTTCTTACTAATTCATAATAAGATTTACAAAAAATTATATTAGATAGTTACTAACAATCGTACCTTTTAGATACGTACGCATGAAATTAGACCACTAGTCATAAGTTCTTACAAGTTTTACGAATTTAGACATTAATGTACGACAAGTTTTGGATGGAAAGATTGTTCTTTAAACTGCCGAAAATTTAAAAATTAAAAAGATAGATAAAAAGCTGCTTTTATAAGAATTAGAAGATATAAAAATATCAAAGAGTATGTATAAGGATATTTAATTTTTCATCTTTCTAATTCTTTTTCGAATTTTTCATTATGATTTAAAATTTTTAATTTTGAAATTTTTTAAATTAAATTTGTGTTGCTAAGATGAAAGTATAAATTGTCAAGAAAATTGATCAATATCATTTTGTTATTAAATGAAGAAAATGTGTAAAAAAATAGGAAAAATGTGTATGTGTGCATATATTACTTAATCATAAAATAAAGAAAAATCGTATTATTTATTGTTAATTTGTTAAATAAATTTAGAGACCTGAATTTCTGTTGAACTTCTGAAATATTTGTTGAAACATATTCTTGACATTAATTTAATAATGTTGAAAATATATGTTAGATATACGTATATTTTGAATAACAATACGAAAAGAATGGATCTAATTCCTGTTGAAAACGAACATTTTTTACTTCATATTGGATCTTTTCAAAATCTAGAAAAAAAATGTACAACTTTCATACAATACAAATATTTTTGAGATATCGTAATTTCAAATCAAGACGTATTTCTATTAGAATGATCAATTCCAAAATTGAAGAGTATTTAATTTATAACACAAATTGTTAATAAATAATCACTTGTTATTAATCATCGATAATAGTACAATCCTCCTCACTTTCCGTGGAAGCAGCTTGTATATTTAGTATATCATTTTTATTTGAGTTTGCTCCATTATTTGATATGATATCTTCTATTATATCCGAATGAATTTTTTGCAATTCTGTTAGTTGAGAGTTATCGTTTAATTTCATATTTACTTCTTGTATCTTAATATCAAAATTACTAACAATTTCTTCGTCGTTCTTATCCAGTGTGTCACTTTTGTCATCTTTCGTCTCTGAATCAATGTTATTACTCAAGTGTTTTTCTTGTCGATAATTTTTTGACTGCTCGTTTTCAACAGATACAATAGGCAAATCGATATTTTTCTCTTGTTGGCAATTTTGTAATTGTTCATTAGGCACAACAGATAAATCGTTATTTTTTTCTTGTTGACAATTTTTCAATTGACTGCTAGATACAGCACACACAGATGAATCAATACTTTCTTCTAGTTGAGAATTTTTCAATTGATCGGTAGATAAAATAGGTAAATCAATATTTTGAATCAAATGTGAAGTAAATGATAGATCCGTTTGCAATTCTTGAAGCGACGTTTCTTCCGAATCTATCAAACCCTTCGAATCTTCTGTCTCAATACCATTATCTTCAATATGCTGCAAATAGTAGATAAACTGTTCCTCATATTTGCCAAAATTCTCATCAGATGTAAGTGGCAAATCCGAAACACTATTGTCCATTTTCGAGTCGTAGGCGGTTCTTGTAAGCACAGAATAACCGATGCATTTCTCATAATCCCTCGAGACAATATCATATACCTGAATTGCTTTGTCTACAGATAAGTGTACACTATCATCACCACTACCACGATGTTCAACATTTTTTTTACAAAATAATAAATCCTTAATAATATTATTATCTTTAACTAAATCGGATGGTTTCGTTATTCCTATCGGCTGATATTTCTGAATTTCATAGTCAGATTCAGTATCAGAATCATTAACACAAATCATATCTAAAGGAATATCTACATTTTCTCGGGACGATTCCAATGCATTTTCATTAATCGAAAATGAAGTTTCCGTTCCTATTTCCGTTTTCTGAGATCTCCTCCATTCAATATATTGACGTACTACCTTATCATTGATGTCTACTAATTGAAGAACTGTATCACGCATATTGTTATAGAAATGCTTGACTTTTTGTTGTGCTTTTATTTCAATATTCTCGATTGCATTGTTTAAATCAAAGAAATTATACATTTTTTTCTTAGCATTGTTTAAAAGTTTGTCCAGATCTTGGCTATGTGGCAACATCATTTCGCTGAAGGAGATATTCTTTTTTACAGTCGCGCATATTACTCTCAAAGGTTGATCTTCCCTTACATCGTCGTCATTCTTTTCCCAGGTGAGAGCAACAGGTACAATTTTGTCGGTATCTGTATTATTGTCTTTGTCGATCGTAAAATTATTTTGCTGCTCAATGACACTTGGTTCATCATCGGAATCACTATCAAGATCAATTATGTTAGGAGTTAACGTTATACCCAAATTTTTTTGTTGTGGAAGAATAAATAAAGGTCTGCTATTCTTGTCCATTGGATTAGGTATAGATACCATCGTGTTTGGCGAAGATTGAAGCGACTGCGATGGTTGATAAGAGTTATTTCGTTGTGGCTGGTACGTCAACTGTGATTGTGGCTGTGGCTGTGGTGGGAGAATAATACGATTCATCGGAAGAGGCGTTTGAATGTAAGCAGCAGATCCCGAGGCGCTCATAAAAGATGTATGATATAAAGGAGACTGCTGTTGCAATCTATTAGGATCGAACCTCGACGGTAACGAAGTATTTGAATTTATCACATTGGGCGATGAAACGACAATATTCTCTGATGCGGTTGAATTTTTATTACCAACAGATTCCGATGATTCAGCGTTAAAAGATTGACCGGTAAGGAATGATGTCGGACGTGGTCTGATGGGAACTAGCATTCGGTTGGTAAACTGTGTTGCCTGCGTAACAATGCCGTTCTCCTTCATCGTCTTATATCTTTTCAGTGGTTTACGTTTTATATATCCTGACATCCCATTGACTTTAGGTACATACGTCACGTCTTCGTCGGAATTGGAATCGAGTCTTCGTCGCTTACGTTTACTTCTGCGCGGGCAACACGTCGATTCGTCTAAATTCATCTTCTCTTCGATTTCTTCTCTACTCATCTTCTTGTCTTGCGCAAGTATCCTAAAATATACCGCATTAAATGTGAAATCAATAAAGGATTACGAGACCTCTGTAAAACTGATCCTTTTTCAAAATTTGGAAAAACTAGCAGAGTTCTTACCCCCCTAAAATTTCTAGTTCAATTTTAACAAGAGTTCTGTCGATTAAAGTGATGAAAACACCATTTGAAGTATCGGGGAGAATGGGGCAATTTCACGATTCCAAAACTTTGAAGGCCTGTTATATTATATAACTTATTTATTTTTCATTTTAGCGATTTGATCCAGATAGAATAAATGATAGAATTTTTTGGGAGACTACCAGAACTCTCAAAAAATAGTGGATTTCCGAAAAATTCCTTCGAAAAAGTTTTTATTAAAAAATTTTTTTTTTTAGAAATTCGACATTCCGTTACGAGTTTCACCTTGAAGCGAAATACATTTCTCAACAAAATTAAAGGATCACTTGTTCCACCCTGCAAAAATAGGCAAACTTTGAGATAGAATAACTTCGTCAAAAATCATCGTATCGAGATGTTTAAAAAAGCATTTTAAAGCTTGAAATCTCAACTTTTCAGACCTGTACTTCTAAAAACGGTCTTACTGATATTTCGTGAAGTTGCAAAATCATAAATAAAAGTGTGTCAAACCTAAACATTTTTTACAAAATTTGCCAAGTTCCACGGAGCCAAGTAAAAATTGTGCACAAATGCGGTTTACAGCTTTCGAAAGAGTGAATCTTTATCTTCAATTTGTTTTTTTATTGAGCTCTGTACTGATTTTTTTTCACCGACTTATTTAACGTTTAAGTAAAAATGGCCTTTTTACTTCAACGTTGAATAACTCGGTGAAAAAAAATCAGTACAGAGCTCAATAAAAAAACAAATTGAAGATAAAGATTCACTCTTTCGAAAGCTGTAAACCGCATTTGTGCACAATTTTTACTTGGCTCCGTGGAACTTGGCAAATTTTGTAAAAAATGTTTAGGTTTGACACACTTTTATTTATGATTTTGCAACTTCACGAAATATCAGTAAGACCGTTTTTAGAAGTACAGGTCTGAAAAGTTGAGATTTCAAGCTTTAAAATGCTTTTTTAAACATCTCGATACGATGATTTTTGACGAAGTTATTCTATCTCAAAGTTTGCCTATTTTTGCAGGGTGGAACAAGTGATCCTTTAATTTTATTGAGAAGTGTAAAATAGCTCAATAAAAATTAATTTTCTTGTAACATTATATCTTTGCAATATTTTGTAATACCTTCTCACTGTTTGTATATGTTGAAGTAGAGCCCAGCACACAGCTCTTGCGTTATATAAATCACTTGGATGGCATACAAAACATTTCCATTTTTCATCAGCTTCAATCTTCTTTCTCACTAAAGATGAAAAGTTTCTTCTTATACATTTATAACAGAAAGTATTACTACAATAGGAGCAACAGTACAAATTGCCACCATTAGCGCACCATCGGCAGAACATATCTGTAGCGTCATCACCTAAGAACAGTAAAATAGAAATTATGTAATTATATATTGGATTGAAAAGAAAGTTACGAGGTATTTTATTAGCTCTAAATTATATATTGTACATTAAAAAAATTATACTATTCGATATAGTAAAGTTTCAGCTTTAAGAAGTCTAACCATTCTGAAATTTAAAAAAATCGAAAATTTTTTGCATTTTTAAAAAATTTGTATCTTTAAGAATATTTTAAGCTAAGATATCAAAATTTGGCCAAATTATGATAATTTATAGGGAAATGAATCAGATTACCGCGCGTAACAGGCTCTAACCGAAAAGCCTGAATGTCTGTATTTTTACATCTCGAGAGTCATATTTTTTACTCTGAACTCAACAGCACTGTACAGCATTATTTTTAAAAGCTGAAGATGAGGTGTATGATGCTGGAATTGCAGATTAGAGATAAGGCCATTTTATTATATAAGAAAATTGTTTCGAATATTCTTTTGCGTTTTTCTCGAAACCATGTTTTTCAAGACGGGTGTAAACTTTTCTCCGAAACTAACAATTCGATTGACATTAATTTTGGTAGAAATATTCTTAAAAAGATTGTCTATCGTGTAGTATACGATTTTTTTCGATATATTAATCCATTTATTTATAACAATGTTTTCATCCTAAAATTTTCTGATATTTCCCTGATTTCCAGACAAAATTTTATGATTTTCCCTCACTTTTAATAATACATATTTTAAAATTAAACTTAATATACCTCCCAGGTCAAGAACAAATTGAGCTTATACTAGTTGTTAGAAATATATATAAATTTCTTATAATAATAATACCGGTATATACGGACAGTTTCAACTTCACAGAGTCCTCAACAGCCGCAACCGAATTCTTAAAATTAAATTTAGTATATTGCGAAGAATATCACAAGTTGGCGGGACGAAACGCCAACTTGTGATATTCTTCGCAACATACTAAATTTAATTTTTAAATTTGTCTTTTCCTTTTATATATGAATATGATGTTCTCTGTTTCTTTTTGCTACTGTACTTAGAACATAAGGAACATAAATCAATGAATACAGTTTCAAAATATGGAAGACCGACCTCTCGACAGGCCAAAAAAGTACCTGTCCCCCCCCCCCTTAACAGCGTCTACATAAAAAGGGAGACCCTCAGGGTAGCGGCTTAGTATCAGCGCACTCCTCGCCCTGATGAAGTGAACGGTATGGTTCACGAAACGTTGGCATTAACAATGAAGAAAGACACGGTGATAACCCGCAAATCTCGTATAATTGAAGAAAATACCCGTGAAAGCCTCAAAAGCGAATATAGTTTCTTTTTTATCAAAACTACATCCTGTTTAAAATCTTAATCTGCTATTATAAAGGTTAACATATTTGAAAGAAAAGTCACAAAAATATAAAATTAACATTTTATTTTACTCACTTGTTCATAAGTAACATAGAACTTTCTTATATAAAACAAAAGAACAGACAACTTTAAAATTTCGATGTTCTTATAGTAAAGCATTTTCTCTACAAGTTTACATTAGCTTTTTAATATAAAAATTAAAATATCAAATCTTTAAAAAAAACTTAAATATTGCAAGTTAACATGAAAAATAGTACAAGCCTCTTAATCGAATTTTAATGATGTCAGTGACGTTATCTCTTCATCAAAAGTACTTAATTCATTAGTTTTCTCTGTCAAAAATTTTGCCTTAGCCTTCAATTCTGAAATTTTTGTAAACAAAGATCTTTTTTTAACAACCTTTGCATTTTCTTGTTCTTTCTCAGAACGTTGCTTTTCCAATGCTTTACTATACATATCCCTTGCATTTCGATAAGATAATTAATTATTTTATCTATTGTAATGAGACCACCGTAGCCTTAAGGCCATCGTAAACTTGTCTCTGAGATATTAGACTAGGTAATTGATTTTCAACAATACATTCCTTGTTTATTGAAAATTCTCTTTCCACAAATGTTTGACCATGATTCAGAATAAGGACCTTTTTCACAAAAACATACAAATTCAAGAAATGATCCTAACTCTGAAACAAGTTTCTCCAGAAATAATCAATTCTTTGATTTTATCGACTGTGGCGTCGTGATATAAATGAAACAAACACCGAGCTAAACAGATGTTTTAAATTTCTTTACAGCTATTTTATTTTTCCAGAAAAGTTTGGTAAATCCCTGACTTTTCCCTTATTTCCTTGACTATGGTAACCCTGAAGTTCTTATTTTAAGATAAAAACTTTTTTTTTTAAATCGAGCTGTTTTCCACATTTCTCAACAAAAGTAAAAAAACCTTACATTACACCATAGCTATTACATCTGTTTACAAGAAAATATTTTGCTTTTTGATTTCAGACCACCCCCGTTCCTAGAAACGTTATACCCATCCGATCCTGTCGTGGCGCGCCATAACTTTGCAGCAATTGTTCTATAGTTTAAAATTTCAATCTGTTTAAAAATTTACAAATTTGCAGTTTAATTAATTTTACGAAAGTTAATTAAAAAAAAAATCTAAAATCTTTGCTTATATTAGACCTTATCAGAATGGTTAGACCTCTTAAGAATCCGATTTTTTAATTGCAGTATAATGATTTTTAACGAAGTTATAAGTAATGAAAATCAAAATGTTCCTTAAGGCGAATCCACAATCTTGTTTTAAGAGGCCGTAAGCCGTAAGAAATTGACCAATCATAGAGAATTATTTTTCTCGCATTCAACTATGATTGGTCAATTTCTTACGGCTGTACGGCCTCTTAAAGCAAAATTGTGGACCTAGCCTAATGTTACTTAACTCATAAATAACTCGGGAATAAAAAATTGTAATATAAAAAAAAAAAAACTATTTTATGGAGAAACCTTCAAATGTTCACGATAGTAGGTGGTCAAAAACTTTCGCAAATTTTTTGGGACCACGTAAAAAACCCACAAAGTAAAAAGAAATTTTTTTCTTTTTTTTTAGCTCATTTTTTTATATGTAAAAATTACAAAACTCAGAAACTCAAAAATATAAGAATAACCTTTCAAAAGTAAAGATTTTAAGCTTCAAAACCCTTTTTTAAATTTCATTAATTTTTTACAAAGATGTTGTACATACAATTTTTAACTAGAAAATTGAAACAAACTTTCCGAACAACCTAATATATAATAAAAGCATATTCAGCACTACAATCACAAAAAGTAGATATAAAAAAATCTTATTTACAATATTTACATTACCTTGCTCAAAACAGCCATCGCCATAAAACTCCCGACAATTTGTACATAATAATGTACGAAGTACAGGATGTTCAAACATATTATAAACTTGAGATGGAGCAGAACCAATGTGTATGTCACAAGCTGTACAATGAATTCTACGAAATCGTACAGTTGCGATATCTAAAATTGGATATTTACACTATAGATCTCACAGTTTCGTGAGAAATAAGTCTTCATGTAATTTTTATTTCTTAAAATGTACCTTCCAACAAGCGACACAGTAATCATCTCATAGTAATCATCTCATAGTAATCATCTCACAGTAATCATCTCACAGTAATCATCTCACAGTAATCATTTCACAATACAGTGATCATCTCATTCATGTTTAACATTGGCAAACAACAAAGATGTATTAATATACTGTGTCACCTGTGTCGCTTGTTAGAAAGCACTCAAAATAAACTTTAGGTTCTAGAGCGTAATTAGAAAGAAAATTAAACTACAAACTAAACTAGAAATTATATGTTACAAGCCAAAGCATGTTTGTTTAAAAAACTGACCATTGCCGAACATAAGCTTGTGGTAATTGCTCTCCTCTTGAGAAAATGGTGTGAGAGCCACGCTGGTCGCACTGGATGCCTGATCATTTTCTGGTGTTACTGAAAAATGGTTAGACCTGTTATTCGCCATGTTTAACGTATTAATTATTATTATATAAAAGAGTCCATGAAATCTTCAATTTATTTGTTACTGAAAAACACGCTAAGTAAATAGGTTAGAATTAAACCCGTGTGACAATTATCTTACGGGAGTCGTGCGTCACACCTTTCACTCTTTCACACTTGCGTATACTTACCGTTCTCCTTGACATCCGTTTCTTCTTTTACTTGTACCTCGAGCATACTAGAAATATCCATGATACTCGTTCAAAGCCGCATTCGTTTTGAGAGCAGAAACACACCTTTCAAAACAACACCGGGACTAATTCGCCGCCATTTTCCTATAGAAGAACGTGGCTGGCCGCGAATTGATTGACATCGGAGGGCAAAACCTTATTTAAAATAATTTCGAACCACTGAATAATTTTCTCACAACGTTGTGATTGAACCACAAGAAGAATCTTGCACGAAACAGGCACGCTAAAAGAGAAGGACAGAAAAATAGAGAAAGAAGGAAAAGCCCTGAATGAGACCAGAGGTCTCTCGCAGGCACGAAATATGGCGCTTATTTTTGTTTAATTTTCTTAGGGCTACGCAGAATAAAAGGAACAGAGAACAGAGAATAAGAATTTCAACCTATCAAAAATCATATACTGTGGAATAAACAGTGTGTATTCCATAGTACATGATTTCTGATAGGTTGAAATTCTTAGGGCTGCGCACAATAGGAGAAATATTAGGAACAGATATTAAATATAAGAATTTTAACCTATCAGAACTGTGTACTGTGGAATGTGCGCTTTCTGACAGGTTAAAATTCTTATATTTAATATCTGTTCCTAATATTTCTCCTATTGTGCGTAGACCCCCTTTTATTCTGCGCAGCCCTTATTGCTTTCATTTCGATTAACCGGATTAACTTGATCGACGATTTAATTGCCGGCAGTCTGTCGCTATATAATCTACATAATTTATTGGGTAATTATACAGAATCATTCAAGCAGCTTAAAAATCGATCAAATTAGGCTTATTCGACGCGTTTTTGCATGAAACGAAAGAATCTGGCAGAAAAAAGTGTCGCTCTGCCCTACGAACTGAGATATTTAGCGTTAAAGTTCGAGATTTTAGAGGTTAAGATATCTGTCACTCCCAGATAACAAAATGTTCGCACAGTGATATCATAGTGCGTGCACGTCGTGCGGATTATTCGCACGATGTGAGTGCATATCGCCATACTGATGCGTCCTCATATGAGACTCATATTGCTCGCACGCATGCGGACGCACACGAAAAAAAAAGTTACAGCAGTTCTTATTAATTAGATTCCTTTCTCCGTCATTTGTGTCCTCTCCTTAAGTGCTGGGCTGCGTTCAGAATCATCATCTGAGTGCACCCAGGTGTCGTGTTATCCTTGTTTATCATTCGTGAACAACAAAGATAAAACAACATCTGGGTGCATCCGGACGACGATTCTGAACGCACCCCTGAACTGATTAATAAATACCTAGGAAAAACCTTCTAAAACCTGATAGGATTTGAACTCGTGACTCGATCCACGGTCCAGTTCTGAGTCGTTCACCTAACGTACTGTTCTATTGTTACCTTATTGACAGAGATGTTTCGAATTGTCTATATATACTTTTAATGAAAATATTTCATTAAATAGTCAATTTATATAAATAGACAGATTATGCATGATTTTTGCTGCGTCTTCGCCATCAATGGCTGATAGGGCAGATCACGTTCTATATCTGACGCGTTTTTGTAGTCACGACGCACAATGGGCAAAAAAGTTCACTTTTTGGACAAAAATCGACCGACAGTGCAATTTTCAACCGATTTTAATTTCTTTTTTTTTTTAATTTACTCGTAATGAAATGCTTTATAACGTGATGCTACTTTTGTTTTCACACAAAACTTGAATTTAAAGTGGCGGATCAAAAATGATTGTCGAACATGTTAAAACGATATTGAATATGATATCTCACATACAATATCGAATATATTTACCTTAAATTAGATACATGTGGATTTCTTGAGGCACTGAATATAAATTTAGCAATTAAAAAATCCTAAACTCAAAATGATTTTTAATATCGGAGTAAAAAATATTGTTACAACGAAGCAATGTATATGTATATATCTATTTATGTGTTTTTGTGAGATATCATATATTCAATATCGTTTTAACACCTTCGACAATCATTTTTGATCCGCCATTTTAAATTCAAGCTTTGTTTAAAAACAAAAGCAGCATCACGTTATAGAGCATTTCATTACGAATAAATTAAAAAAAAAAAAATTAAAATCGGTTGAAAATTGCACTGTCGGTAGATTTTTGTCCAAAAAGTGATTTTACCCACTGTGCGACGTGACGGCAGGCTGTGCTCGATTTTTGCTGCGTTTTTGCTGTCATAATATGTCAATAAGTGTGCCAGATTTTTAACAACATTTTGCTGATTTAACATGTAGTTATGTTTTATATCAAGTTTTGATCTATTTTTTGTTAATTTATTTTGTCAGCATGTATTGCTCGATTTCTACTTGCTTTATTTCGACAAAGTTTGATGAATTTTTACAGAATTTTTGCTAGTGTATTATGACGCAGGTCTGCTCTATTTTTGCTGTATTTATGTTATGGCTATACTGAAACGGTAAACCGTGTTCGATTGCTGCTCGATTTTTGCCATTATAATATGTAGCATAAATTTGCAATGCATGCTTTTGGTGGGTTTGGCTATCTGGGTATATATTACATAGTTTTAAAAATATGTTAAAGGAATTAAGCAAAGAACGGATCATTAAATTTTACATTAACAAAAATAACAGACCAAAAAAGGTTGAAAATATTATTTACTTTGTTGTTATTTTCACTGCATATATTGGGTGTATTCCGAACCGGGTTAGTCTAGCTTATTTTTTTTCCTAGATGTTGGCAGCTCCGTAACTAAACCGAAAAGTGTTCCGAACCCGATGGACGATCGTCAATATAATTTTTTCCCGAATTGCAGGTTATGAGTTTGCTTTTATTTTCTTTTTGTAATTATTATATGATTTGCGAAATGAATATAAATAAAGTGATGGTATTCGAAGCAGTTTTCACAAGTTCTAGTTCAAGTGAGAGTGACGATGAAGAGATGAAACTATTTCTTGATGAAAGTAAACGTCGAAAAATACCGAGAGTAAAATATTTTATTGAAACAGTAATATATGCATATAATAATAAACAATTTAAACAACATTTTCGGTAAGTCGATGTAGTAAAGTATAACTAATTGCTTATTTTACTTTTATAACCTTACATATGATTTCTAGAATGAGTCGCAACACTTTTTATTTTTTATTAAATCTTCTAAAACCATATTTGCAAACTGAGGAAAGTGGTCCTGTTATTTCACCTGAAAAACAATTATATATTGCTTTGTATGTATTAGGAACGCCTGATTCATATAGGTAAATATATATTTACATATATTCTTATATATTTCTATAAACTGTTTCTACTTCAAGCGAGTATTTATTTATAAATTGGATAAAAGAGCATAAAAGCCTATTATTCGCCAGATGTACGTGCAAGTTTATAATATATAATTTCTTCGTAAATATACATAACAAACAAGATAACCTAATATAAGATCGACTCGTTTGCATCATCTTGTTTGTATATGTATATTCACGAAGAAATTATTTAACTATTTAACATACACTTGCACCTACATCGTGCAAATTGGCTCTTTTATGCTCCTTTATCCAATTTATAATATTTTGACTTTGTTTGGATATCCAATAAATTGTTTATAATTATTTATCATCTTTATTTATATAGATCTATTGTAACCAAGTTTGATGTAGGAAATGCTACAGCTTGGCGAGCTGTAAAAAGAGTAGTAAAAGGTCTGTGTTATTTTCGAAACTATTTTATTCATTGGCCGACATTTGAGGAAGCAGAAATCACTAGTAGATATATACAAAGAAAATATAATTTCCCTGGCGTAATTGGAATGGTGGATGGAACACACATTACAATTGCAGCTCCAAAAGATAATGCGCTTGCTTATATTAACCGGAAAGGACATCACTCTTTACAGTTACAAGTATATAATACTTTATAAAATACCAGATTTTCATCGATTCTATTATATTAAGAAACAATATACAATATTGCTCTTGTTTATAGGTTGTTTGCAATGAAAAGAAAGAGTTTATCCACTGCTACGCTGGAATGCCAGGATCAGTGCACGATATGAGAGTGTTTAAATATTCTGGATTACAACAAAAATGCAATGACAATTTTTTTTATAATAAACACCTCATAGGCGATTCAGCTTATACTCTGCAAAAATCTGTTATGGTACCATATAAAGACAATGGGCATCTAACAGCTGACGAAACCAATTATAATTATGCTCTATCTAGAAGCAGAATGTTTGTGGAACAGTCTATAGGTCTTTTAAAAGGTCGTTGGAGATATTTATTAGACAAATTACCGATGCGAAGGACAGATCTCATCCCCTACTATATTATTGCTTGCTGTATTCTCCATAATATTTGTCTCTTGCAAAGAGATGAGATTGAATATCCAATTATTCTTCCAAACGAGATTCTTGAAGATGCTGGACCTTTAACTGTTACTCCACAACAACAAGAAGGAATTATCAAAAGAGAGCAAATAAAAAATTCTCTTTTGTAAATTTAAGTGACAAATGTATTTTTCTTATGATACATCTTTTAAAACAATGTATTTTTTAAATATATTTACATTATAATAAATATATGTATACAAACTAAAAAAATGTTATTAAAAAATAATATAACAAAAACGTATTCCTTAATATACTTATTATATATAAAAATGAGTATCATTGCTCTTTGGTAAATGTAAATCACTGGCAAAGAATATAGGAACAAAGTTAAGTCAAAAAAACAATTAACTATCTAAAAATAAAACAACAAAAAATATTTCTTTTAAATTAAATTACAACTTTCTTTGAATATCTCTGAGAATTGCCAATTTGTCTTCTTTATATTTTTTGTCAATCTCTAACTTTTGTTTTTTTAATTGCAAAAATTGTGTCATATAGTCGTCCTTATTGATGCTGCCACGTTTTGAACTTCCTGAAAAGTTTGTTATATTTGTATAAAATGTAAGTTATTCAAAATTTTTGTTAAATGAAGAAAAACGTTATTAACCTGAAGACGATGATTCCTCATCTAAATGTTGCCCAAGAGGCTTGCTGGATCCAACAGTAGACAAAGGCTGCATCCATGGTGTTTTAGCGAATATTTCACATAAAATCTAAACAATAAAGATGTAATGAAATAAATGAAAATGACAATAATATAACAATTATTATATATATCTATTGTATAATACATATATTTACATCATAATGTTCAATTTTTTTTGGTGTGTTTCCAGTTTGGCGATTATGATCACAACATTTCTTATAAGCTTTTTTTAAACTGTCTATTTTTGTACTACATTGTGATGCAGTAAGAGCATAACCTTTCTCTTTCATTCCCGCTGATATTTCATTCCAAAGACGGTTGTGTATCATATTTTCTTTGCTTAATTGACGAAATAGAAATAGTAGTAATTTCGTTTGCTCTGTAGACCAATGATGCCTCGAAGCACCTAACAAAATTTTTTATTATAAAATATATTACAATACATTATCTATAGTGTTATACGTACCAATATTTTCATTATTTTCACTATCATCATAATTATCAAACTGTCTATTTTCATTAGTTCTATCTTCAGAAACATTTGTGCCTATGCAATGAGACTTTTGCTTCAATATTTCTTTACTGTATTTATTGAACAAATGTACACCAAACTGTGGATCTATAGAAATAAAAACTTATGATAGAAAGTAAGAACACACGCGAAAAGGATCTGTCACATATTCTGAGTTTTACCATTGTTAGCACGTTCAAAAATATTATTTGATACATGAAGTTCAATAGTATTTGACCCATTTGTTAACTTTAATACTTTTTTATCGTGTGTTTCGTCATTTATTGCAGACTTGTTTCGAAATAATGCAGGATATTTTTGCTTTTGCATTATCAAAAATTTTTCTGCATATGATAGATCTGAAAATTTTAATTATGACAAAAATTTGGCGATTGCAATATTATACATTAATATTAATATGAGCTTACCATTATGAGCTAAATCATAAACGTTTTTTGTCACCAGAAAATTATACGTTATTTCATTGTGGTCTAGAATTTCTAAATGATACATTTTGTTGTTACTAACAACATTTATTGCCTACAGGTCAACAGGTACAGGTAATAGTTGAGCAATTTCCAGATTAAACGTATCAGGTTCGGAACACTTTTCGGTTTAGTTACGGAGCTGCCAACATCTAGGAAAAAAAATAAGCTAGACTAACCCGGTTCGGAATACACCCATTGTATTATGTGGCGTCGAGTGGCTCACCGCTCTGTGCGATTGACTCGCGATTTGTAGACCCGAGTTCAATCCCACGTGCGCCCAAACGCGATGATTTTTCGCGTTTAATGAGCCAAAAAATGGCTCCACCTGGTGATCAAAAGATCTATGATCATCAGCGCCGTTCGGATTCGGCGTTAAAAACTGTAGGTCCTATACATCAGTAGTATATCAGTAGATATTTGTCTCTAATATCTAACTGAGGTAGGATTCTGTGGACTAATCACCCACAAATCAGAAAAACTATCTGATTCGAGAAACGAATATAGGCCTCGGACAAAGGAGGTCTATAGACGTCCTATGCTCCACATAAGGAGATAAAAGGTGTCGTTATATATTGTATTATATTATAGATGTACTATTATGTAATTTCTATCCCAAATATGATTATTATGTTTATATTATTGTAATATGCACATAATGTTATATAATTGTATCATATTCCCAATTTATATAATCTATTTGTAATTTATTTTAATTATTTCTATTATAAGAAAAAGATTTTTATAATATAATGTATAGTTTTGATAGGATATATTAACATTTCTAATAATTTCTAATAATATGAATAAATTAGATTTCTCACCATCCTCTGAATCTTGAAATTTTTCTTGTGAAATGTTTGTACAAATACTTACGACTTGTGGAGTTGCTGACAATACCGTATTGTTTCCACGTTCAAGTTCTTTCAGCAAATTCTATATGCATGGAAAAATTAATATATTTGTAAAAAAAAACGATTAATGATTGAAGAGAATATGTTATATTCACAGTTATATAGTGTTTCGAAATTCGCGAATCAAAATACTATGGTAAGAAAGTTCTCAATAAATTAAATAAAATAGTTATTTGTAGAAAAGAGAGACCCATAACGGTCAAAGCTGGATCTTAAATTTTTCTTATGGGGCTTTAATTTACAAATTTCAAGTTCAGAAATTCCGCTGAAACAATTTTCGGACATTCCCCACCGAATAAGAATCGTAGTACATTGATAATCAATTTAATAATATCGATACTTATAAACATCGCAATAAATTCTTTACAGGATTGGGTGGAGGGATACGAGGAGAGTAATGTGTAAGATGCTTATAAGCGATATTATTAAATTGATTATCAATTTAATAATATCATGATAGTATTAAATCCACATAATATTAAAGCCACATAAGAAAAATTTAATATGTAGATCCAGCTTTGACTATGGGTCTTTCCTATATATAGTTATAAAGATTTATAAAAATTACCTCCTCCTCTGGGATACTGTCTGCACAATCTTTACTCCCCTCGACGTACTCAGCTGTTATTCCAATTACACGTAATTCCAATTCTGTCAGTTCAGGTTGCACGATAGTTTTATTTCCTATTAACCACACACAACACACACACACACACACACACATCTTAGCCTTCCGCAAATCTTTTGCTTTTATAGAAGTGCGGCTTTTTAAGTCCCTCCAAACCTTAAACATATAAATAGATTCACATGTAATTACATAGAACAAACTTGCAAAATTTTATGCTTATACTCAAAGTTGAGTAGTAATTTGTTAAAGAGTTAGTAACTTTTAATTTAATTTAGTTAAAAGTTGAAGTGAGTTAATTTTTAACTAATTATACAAATTTTTTATTAACTAATATCTCAATACAATTTTTAACGTAACTAAATTAATTTGCAGATAAAATTAACAAGAGCACATCCCAGCTAGCAAGGTCACTTGATAATGACGTGAATTTTTGGTACAAATAACGTCAATTATGACATAAAAGTAACGTTATTCTGACGTATATATCACGTGATTATGTCACATCTTATTGACGTTATTTTATTACGTCAGGGAGACGTAAATATGACTAAAAAGTACTATTAGTGTCACTACTAGTGCAATAATGCAGTAGTAAATTCGTATATGCTTCGTGTAGAAATTTAAGTAAAATACCGGTCAGTTTTCCCTAATTACTGAAAAAAAAATTTTCTCTAAATTCGAGAATTAATTTTTTTTCATGATGCATCCCAAACGGTCACCCATCCGAAGTTGTACCACGACCTCGCATGCTTAACCTTGACAATCGTACGGGAACTGCTGTACTTCGATGACCCACGAATCTGTATGTCAATGTCTGTATAATTGTGATATATCTGTTCAATGGAAAATTTTACAAATTAACCAATCAAGAAATGCTTCGAAGTATTCGTAGTGGCAACTCGACCGCACTTTATATGATAGTGTATGTATTAGTGTATGTATTAGTATATGTATCATTTCCGTAAGTGTAATGTGCATGACATATCATTTTATCCTTGTTTTTCATCGAATATTAAAGTATAAAATGATACATCAAATAATAATACACAAATAATAACAAAAAATAATTAATTAGTAATGGTCATATATATGACGTCAATGTAACATCTAGTTGACGTCATATCGGTGACGTCAACTTTTGGTATTACAAATGACGTCAAAATAACGTTCCATTTATGTCACTTGACGGCATTGTCATCAAAATCACTTCATAATCACGTCATTATCACGTGAGCTTGCTAGCTGGGATGTTGTAAATACAATAAATGAAGAAAAGATCTAGACAGTAGGAACTGGATTTTTTACGTGTGCTTAATAATATCATTTTCTTACTACCTGCTTATGCACCAACAATCGTAAAGACTCATATATCAGCAATTGCTATGCTAATTTAATAAATTAATTTCATTAATCATTATAATATAAATTTAACTCAAAATTTAGTTAAAAAATATAATATTAAGCTAGTATTGAAATTTCTCTAATATACATATATGAGATTTTCAAACCAAGATTCCGATGATTTGATTTGACATTGTAAATAATGGAAATTGGAACTCTTTCTGAAATTATTGTAAAGAATAATATTATATTCAAAATTGTATCTTGTAATACCACAACTTCAAGGAATTAATTGGAGAATTGGAAGGATTATTTTAAAGAAGATCACTATACACTAAAAAATTGTTACACTGAAGAGGACCGTAATTCAAAGATCGAAACGGTCTGATTTTAAGACCGTTACATGTATATTTATTTATAATTATTTATTATTAAAGTTAAAGATCAAATTTTACATATAAGAACGTATTTTGGCTCGAATAACCCTCTTCTTATGTAATTTATTGAATTTATATTCACCAAAGCCATCTTTGATAATTTTATAAAATTATTAAAAATATGTAATAACTTATTCAATGCTGCTCAATATTAAATGAATGTGCATGAAATTATTCATACCACTTGCCATTGTTCGACTGTTTTTGTTGCTCCTTGAAAAGAATTTAATTCATTTGCTAATTTTGTCCACTTTTTTTGACTTTCTTCTTTTCCATGTAGTACATGGATTTTTCCTTCTGCAAGACCCTTATTTATATTAAAAAAAATCAATCATTTTCGTTAATTGTAACTGTGATGCCCTTGCAGTTCTTGTTTTCTTGCTGTAAAATAAAAGTTATCTCCCATATAATGTTTTATCATTTGTACATTTTATATTTATTACAGTACATACCTATATGATGTGATTTGCGACATTTCTAAAAAGTCAATTCTTCTTTGCGGCCTTCTTTTTTAATTTCTCTTTTAAAAATTTCTCTTTTAATTAACTTAGATCAAATTCACACTATTAATTTACAGACATATGAGGTTAATAATGGTTAATAAGGTTAAATGACTTGCTCAGACTTGCTCGACTTCATAAATTTCCTAGAAAGTTACTACGTTTTAACTGCTTAAAAATTTGGCAACGTTGCATAGCTATCGAATTATTTCGATGCAACTGTAACGATTTTTGCATCGATTATAATCGTTAACACTATGTTACAGAATCATCCACAATAGCGATCGTCGGTCGCGCAAGCGATAATCGTCGATTGCTATCGATAACGATTCTTGTCGTTAGGAAGTTAGAGAATCCCAGCCCTAGATCCTCAAGAACTCCGAGTTGATGGTGGCGATACCGGATTAGTCGGCGGCCTGGCAAAACTGCAGGTAGTCACATATACAAGTACGAGCCCATGTCTGTATTCTCACTTTCGGACCGAAGGCGAGTACACGGATAGACTCGTGCTTGTATGTATATTCTCTTACGGAAAAAAACTATTGGTAAATGGTGAAATGACCAATAGTAATTTGGCCAATAGTTAGTATTGTTGGTGAATAGTTACTATTGATCATTAGTTACTGTTGGCCAATAGTTACTATTGGTCAATAGTCCCTCGTAAAAAAGGTCAGTTTTCTCTAATTACTGTTAGATTGTTAAAATAAGTATTATTAATTAGCATCAATTTAGAATAAAATCGTGAAAAAAAAATTTTCCTGGAGAAAAATTATCCTAAATTCAAGAATTAATTTTTTTTCATGATGTTTCTCAAACGGTCATCCATCCGAAGTTGTACCACCAACCTCGCTGCTTAACATTGACAATCGTACGGGAACTGCTGTACTTCGATGACCCACGAATCTGTATATGTCAACGTCTAAATAATTGTGATATATCTGTTCAATGGAAATATTAAAAACAGATGGTTTATGTGTTTATATGATAGTGTATGTATTAGTGTATGTATATTTCCGCAAGTGTAATGCACATGACGTATCATTTTTTATCTTTGTTTTTCCTCGAATATTAATGATACATCAAATAATGCACAAATAATAACAAATAATTGATTAAAATCGATTTCTTTATTCAAATTTGTATAAAAATTATTTCCGCAAGTGCAGAAGTGTATTAGGCGAATAGTTACTATTGGAGTCCTAATAGTAACTATTAAAGCATCAATAGTAACTACTGGAGTCTCAGTAGTAACTATTGGAGTCTCAATAGTAACTACTGGAGTCTCAATAGTAACTATTGATTCTTAATAGTTTTTTTCCGTAAGGGTTATAGCGCTTCGCCATGATAGAGGGCTAAACTAACAGGCGTGAAAAAGTGACGTTTTGACAAAATTTTTCTAGCATGCCATTTTCTTAATATTTGCTTATTTGTGAAAATGTGACTTGCTTCGTATTCGTGAAAGTCCTAAAAATATGTGGAAACTACAGTTATCTTGAAATTTTATATGTAAAAGCGTATATTTCACTCATTTCATCGGCTGTTAAACTGTGTGTTTCTGACCGAGTATAGGCTCACTTTATGTGCCTTTTACGACCATTTACTGACTATCAAAGGAGGAAAGGACAGTTTCCGCCCATTTTTACAAATATTTTTAAGCGACTCGTCATTTATATTTATTCAAATTGTCTTTATTTACAAATGATGGTCGCCGCCATGTTGGAATTGTGACATCATAAACGAGAAATGCTCATTAATTTTTCTTGCGTGTTATTTGTAAATAAAGACAATTATTCAGGAGCCTTAAATAAATATTTTTTATAATACTATTCGTAGTTTCGCGTTACAAATTTTTTAATCCTTTAACGCCCAAATGTACAAATTTTCTTCATGAAGTTTGACACAATATTTTAGCATTAAAACTGTAGGAAAAATTCTGCGATAGCCATTTCTTATTGGCCAAGGACCGCTCTTTCCAATGGTGCATGCCAAAATTATTTAAAGTTTCAAATAAAAAAGTTATACTCTTTTTTTTAACCCTTCCTCGACACACCTATTTTTTTAATCAAATATGCCAGTACGGGTCAGTGTAACCCGAGACGAACTTTGATCGCTCGCCATTCAGTCATGAATGCACCGATCGACCTGAAAAAATTCTGACGTATACTTTGGACATATTTAAATGATATCCGATCATAAAAAAAGTATTAAAAATTATTAACATGCTTAAAAAAATTTGCGAAAATTTTTTTTTTGAAAAAATCAGGTTTTACGAAAAAATTTTTTTTTTTAATTTTCAATGGAATTAGCTAAAATTTTAAATGTAGGTTCTCGAAACATAGGTAAATATGTGAAAAAAAATTTATCACCGACGCTCACCGGCTACTGAGGGCTCGGGATCGCGAGGAAATCATCCACAGAGTTCAATCCCTCGACTGCCACCAGAGGGCCATGAAACCGCCGTTATTTGAATTGCCAGAAAGATATAAGCGTTCAAACTGAACCAACGGGTCACATAGACCCATAGTGTCGAGGAAGGGTTAAAAAAAACATGAATTTTCTTGGTTTTATTTTCAATTCATTGAATTTTATTATTGGTAATGGCATTAGAATATCTCTAAAAGTCGCAAATATCGTGTCAAAAATGAATTTGCTATCAGATACGGGTGTTCCGGAAAAAAAAAATTCAAGATGGCGGACACAAAAATGGCGATAAAAATGAATATTTTATGTAATATTGTGACCGGACGACATTCGCACTGGTCTCGGTCCTTGTCCATTCGTTGAATTTATTCGGTCGCCACGTCCTTTCACCTCCAAGGACGAAGGTTCGCAATGGGATAGTAGGTGTGTAATCAATCAATCTTTGACTATAATAGAACAACTCTTTATTATAAAAGAAACTCTTGTCAATGGTTTAACACTTTACAGTCACTATTTAACAATCAAGGAGCGCACGTTGGTTTGCTTATCGCGCGGATAAGTGTTTCGCATACTCTGCTCAAACCTAATGGCTCTATCTTAGGCAAAACTCTCGACGCCTCAATGTCTCTTCGCAGAAAAGCTGCTGCGCGCGACGCTCCGTCACTTATATTCCCTCGGTCCGCGCATGCGTTCCGCTTGCCATGCCGGCCCGATCGCTCGTACGCACGCATTTGTATAACATCTTAAATTAATTCGATTAACAATAATTAATAATATATCGTCGTCTAGTGCATTGAAAACACTTCACATAAGTATCATTCCGTTACCTGAATAACATTTCTTTACGATCGCACCCGGCGGTTCCGTAATATTAACAGATTTCATATAATCTATGGGTTCCCATGGACCCACAATAACATGCTTTGGTATACGCTTACATTAATACAATAACTTAATGTATGTTAAGTCTAATCTCGATCGGATGAGCCGTTTTCGAGATCTCCGCAAAACGCAGAAAATCTAAGGGTTCCCGTAGCCCTACGACTATGTACTTTGGTATACTTCTAAATGAACCTGATACCATAAGGTATACTAAATACGCTCCCGATCGCATGAGGTTTTTGTGTAATATCGGTGTGTCGATAGTCGACGAAGACAGTGGCCAAGAAACGAAGCCCTTGAGCGAAATTCGAGCGCTCACCGTCGAAGAGGAAAGATTAAGAGAAATCATTCGGCGGAGAACACGCCAGAGAGCCCGATTGAACGCAGCTAAGAAGAGGGTCGCGTCGCTGCAGCAATTTGTCGATACGATGAGTCCGGAACAGTCGGAGGACGAGAACATCGTCGATATGCATCGAGATGCAGACATAGTGAATTACAGAGACATTCAAGCGTACAATAACGCTAGAGATTTTGTGTCGAGCGGCAGTTTCGTAGACGATGTCAATGACGGGAATCGGTCAGTTTTGGTGATGTCCTCCATTTGTGTCAAGGACTCTGCAAACCAGCCGTTATCAGAGGAACTCGGTTATCGAGTCACGCTGGAGGTGGTGGGAAAGAGAGTCAAGAAGAAGACGGAAGTATTTACCGTAGACCCAACGAAAGATGAAGCGGAATCGACGGCGACGATGCTGGATCAAAGAGAGAATCAGAATACCTCTAAATCAGCCGATGAAGGAAACATAAACGTTCCCACGAACAAGGACGCACGGGACGAGAAGAAGGACTCCTCTTCTTCTTGTTCGACGTGTTCTTCCTCTTCTTCGACATCTGATGAGAAAGGAAAAGACCATTCGTCCTCCGATTCCGAAATTCGGAGTTACAACGACGAGTCCAACGACGACTCAAAGGATGTTGATTTCGTTCCACACAAGAAACGAAAAACTAACGTGGACAAGTTGGAAAGCGACAAGCGGTCTTGTGCACGACCGACGAAGACACCGTCTGTGGACGGGGTGAAAAGAAAACCAAAGGTCGTCGAAAATTATATTTTAAAATAATTAGTGAGAAGGCTCTATATGTATAAAACAATACAAAACTAAGAAGGGCAAAGAGCCAAATAAATCTATAGAAAATATCAAATATATAAAATTTAATAAAACACTTAAAAATTACAAAAAGAACAAACGTTTCGAACCCAATTGGTTCATTATCAATGTTACAAATAATAAAGTTGAAATAAAAAATAAACGCATTCTTCTTCCATTAAAAATGATCCTAATAAAAATTATTTACAAATTAATAAAATTATAACCAAAAAATTAATATTAAAAAACAATTACCTTCAATATTACAATTACAGAATTAAGATAAAAACGCATTCTTCATATAAATCAGTATAGAAAGAGTCAGATGTTGAAACAAACATAAATTGATCCTAATAACAATTATATAAATTAATGAAATTCACGGCAATAAAAAATTAATTAATAAAAACAAGAACTCTATTACCTTATCAAAATACATAAGAAGCAACAAGTCCATAATTAAATTCGAAGTCATTAGATATAAAATATATTTGAAAAACTGTAAATCATATTATATTTTAAAAGTTCCACAAACTGCGAGGGTAAGTACGTTGGATAAAAGATTTCCGTCTTGACCAACTTTGTCAGTTTAGTGTAAAATATTTGTAATTTTTTTATACGTTTCAGTCAACATCGAGACTCTGTAGTCCTGTTCACGGCGTCGAATACTCAGCAGAGAGTTGGTCGTCGAAAACTCCGACGACGAACAGCTGCAGCAGCAGAAGGAGCAGAAAGCGCAGCAGCAGGAGCA